TCTGGATACGACCCTGCTAAGCACTGGTCCTATGGTGTTCCTGAGGCCATCAAAAAGAAGATCGGTGGTTCTGCTACAGGTGGTGCAACCGCACGCGCACCGAGCAATGGCTGGGTTGCAGCAGATCTGGGAAAAGTCTTTGACACCAAGTATCCGACCAAGATCGCGACATGGTACCCGTATGTGTCTGAAGCGCCAGTAAACAACACTAATCCGACGTCTCCTGGCAGTGGTGATCCCCATGAGAAAAGATCAGGGGGTGTACCATCCTGGCTCCCTCCCGTGCTTGGTGTGGTGCTAGGGCTGATGCTCTTGACTATAATTGTTGTCCTGGTTCTCCTCTGGAGGCGCCGCAGGTTATTGAGGGCTGGCACCAGTGTACCCGAAACTGAAGACACAAATGGCTACCGAATTATGTCCTGGATGCGCGGTCAGCAGCAACACGCCACTGAAAAGGCCCCTACCGTCACGACCTCGGATGAACTCAGCACGATCCCTCACAGCCCCAGTCCTATGCAAGATCTGGAAAGCACAGGATCACCTATGCCGCCGCCCTCAATTGCCGAAGCTATGGACACACAGATTACGCCGCCGCCAGCCCCAGTGGAGTTGATGGGTAAGAATAACCCACCATGATCTTCAAATACACCTGCTAACTCTTAGTCACACAGATACCTCGCCTCCCGCCGAACTCCACGACACTAGCTTGAGTCACATTGATGTCTTGAATCGCCATTCGAGCGTCGGTCGAATCAACATAGCCGGAAATGGCTCTCTCAACAACCCGTCATATTACACGGGAGGGACACAGCAGATGGACCACGCGAGCAACCACACCCGCTCGTCCATGGGTGTTGCCTCTTCTCTGCCGCCGCATATGCAAGGCGTCGATGGTGCCCCAACCAACTTCCGTCCCGACTCGGAGCTGATGGGCAGTGTTCCATCCGGGGCTGCGCCCGCTAACAGAGACATGCCTTCACCCACGGTTTCACCAACCACCACAACAGCGACCCGCGGCTTTGCCCTCTCGGACGTCTCCAACGTCAGCGAGCGCGATAAGACACACCTCCGACAGATCAGCGACGCAACCGTGAGCTCCATGACCTCGGGACAAACGTCTCTCAACAACGGACTGCAACCATCCAACGTCAAGAGCAACCACCGCTTCAGCAACGGCCCAGCCCCCAGCTCCGTCCCTGAGGAACATGTGATCGATCAGCAGGGCGTGCAACAGGCGCCTGACCACCTCCCTACACCCCAGTCCGCAACTTTCGCTATGGGCGGTGCGCTGTCACTGGGATCGCCGCAGCCGATATCGCCGCCTACGGCAGGGTTAACGGAGGGAAGCGAGGATTACATGAGCGCTAGGCCACAGCCACCACCGACGGCAGGTATTGGCCCAGGAGTCGCTGGAGGTGCTGGGGCGACAAGTAGTCCGAGACGGAGCATGTTTACGGAGAGCAAGGAAGATATGAATGGGACTGGCCCGGGAGGTGCTGGCAGGTAATCAGGGAGAAGTGATAAGAGGCGGAATGGGGTGGAAGCGCTTGTTATGAATGGGTAATTAACGAGCTAGATGCGATACATTTGATGGGACAGGCTACGATGTATGCTGGGTTCCGCCATTTTCCCTTTGTCTAGTGTTTAGTGGGTCCAACTCACTGACTTCACGGTCTAGTCATGTTCAATGTCCATATCAATGATGGGATTCGTACCTTGGGACTGAGCTGGTAGATACCTTTTGACAAATGAACCTTGCTATGTTGTGTTTTGCAGGATTGATGTCCCACGAACTCCAGTATTTATCTTCGCGCCATTGCTAAACTGTATTGTATTGGCTCGCTCATACAAGGTGTCATTTTACCTTTCCAACATCGGATGTTCCTCGGTGGGACAAGCACAACTTTACCCTTTTTTCAATTTTTTTTTTTTTTTTTTTTTTTTTTTTTTTTTGGTCTTCCCTTTACTTCCTACTAGTATCCATTCCTGATCACGGTCTTTGATAACTTTCCGATGACACAAAGAAAACATTCAAATATCGCGATCCACGTCTTTGCGTTGCGTCAGATGAGAGAGTTTGCGCTCCGAACCCAGCAGTGAGTGGACAAATGTGAGATATATAATGTCTTGTTCCCAAGGCCAAGATAACAACCGTCCAATAAGCCCGCATGGCTCAGTGGTAGAGCGCATCACTAGTAATGATGAGGTCGTCAGTTCGATTCTGGCTGTGGGCATTCCAACAACGGAAGCCTGATAAGGTTTATGAGCTCTCTTTTTGGTTCTTTTGGTGATATCTACCAGACATGGAGTTGTGACTTTTTGTTTTCTTTTTGGTATCGGGGAACCTTCCCGTTTCTTGGGACGGACGGGTGGGAGGTGGCCGGTGGCAGGTGGCATGGAAGCAGGTGAATTTTTTTTGGAGCCTAGGTAAGGTAAGGCGATTGACTCTAACCTGACTTACCACAAACGGCTGTGACAAGTGCAGTAAATGATGGAAAGTGACTGTGAATCGTGTTGCTCCTTCTGCTCTTTGCTTCACCATTCTCTCTTTACTTCTTTCTTCCTTCGCTTTCTTTTTCCTTTTCTTTTTTTTTCTTCGTAATCGTCAGTTCATTGAGGTGCCGTGGAATTCAAGCCACCCCGGACTGACCTTCAACTTGGGCAGAGTACCAAAGTGGTCGTAGCGTGGTTGGCCAGGGGCATTGGGACCCGAAAGTCGCTGAAGGCCCGCTACGCCTGCCCACTCTAACAATTTTCCAGGGCGCTGAACTTAGGGGTGGGCCACCCGGACTACAGAAGCTTACCGCGCAACTGGGTAATGCATGCGCGCCCAGGCCTGACCGATGTCATCTGGGCCTTCGCGCCCTTAATTAATCAACCAAAAGATGTACTGAAACGGGGACAGGTAAGACTATTGTTGATCCTATCCATTCTCGCTTCGCATGTAATTTTTCTGACGGTCATTAGTTGTGCTTGGGCACCGAAAATGCCGAGTGTCCCAAGTGAGTTTTGGCCCATCCCCCAAAGTCGGCTTCGCGCCTGCTGGTCGACTCGGGCCCGAGTATCAGATACCACCTGGGATGACCGAACTGCCAACTACCTCCACAGATTGTACATTTGTGTTTTGTTGCGGAAGAAAAGAAAATGCTTCAAGGCCCTCCTTGATGGCTGGAAGGGACTCAGCAAAGTGTCAAAGTTTTGAGAAAGAGCGACGATCTTTTTGATACTTCATGCCGCGGCATATGTGTCCAACGAGCTTTGACTGCGCCTTCTTCGAACTAAAAGATGCGAGACACGCTGTATTGGGTTGAACCGCCTAGACTCCAGCCAGATACCGGACCGGGAGTTAGGGAAAGTTATGTTGCATATATGAACATAAATCATGTATGAGCGTTGTCGGTTGTTGGGGCTTTGGAGATTTCAGTCCAGCAAAGTATCTCTGTCTACTCAAATATGCAAGTTTGGATGTATCAGCTATACTCGGCGGCATTTATGCTTGGAAGAGCAGATGTCAAGGAGAACCCAAGCGGTGATGACAGTTGTAACCAAGGGAGCGGACAAGTGGAACCTTCCATGATCTTTTGTCAATCCGGCTGTGATGCACGTTTTCCACCTTGCGGTACAAGTGCAGTAGTTTTCGAGTCGATGATGAGATGAGAGGGTTTGATCTGATGACAGTTTAAAGGATTCCCCCTCCCCCCAAACAAGAGAAGAAAAAAAAGGAAGAGGAAAAAAAAAAAAACCGAAGAGTGGCCTGGGTTGAGAATGAGAAGGTAGAGATGTCTTCGTAACTGAGTGACTTTGGTCGTTCCTACGGTGCGCCCTGATAGAGCTATTTGCCTGTTCCTTCGTTAACATTCCGATCGGTGCAGACCCCGCCTGAAAGTGACCGGACAATGTTGATATCCTCTCCTACATGATGCCAGGGCAGTGTGAGTCTCAAAAAGGAGTTGCATATATGCACGTCTTTTATTTCTATTCGTGATCAACTGCAATGTTTTTTTTTTTTCTTTTTTTTTTCTTTTTTTTTTCTTTTTTTTTATCTTTTTTTTTTTTTCTTTTTTTTTTTTTCTTAACGGACACTTCGTATGACATCGAGCTTTCCCACCTTCCCATCGTCTCTTGGTCCTTCGCAACTGACAATGGGCTTTTAGCACGCATCTCGAAGTTTCCGTGAGCTGGGAATCAGTAAGTGGCTCCGTCTCTTGCTGAAAATCATGTACAGATAGGAAACAATGAAGATCAAGCCGGTCTGAAGGGCTATGTGCGAGGAAGGAGGACAGCTGTACAATGCGGTGCTTAGTGCAGATCTCCTTCCGCCCGAGGACTGGCCGGCAACCAACCAGCCGGATAGGATGTCTTGGCATGAGTGTGCGCTAGGAATAGCGAATCTATGGCACACGGCTAATGCTAGAGGTTGGCTAGAAGGGGTTACTGTAAGCGTAGGCTTAACTTAGCTATTGAAATTATATAGGGACCGGATCTACGTCCCTTCTTCTGCCTAGGTTGTAATTGATAATAATCTAATAAATCCGCTCCTTATAGGCGTTGGACTGGTAGAAGAAGCTTTTCTATCAATAACAAGATGGTGGTGCCTACCGATCTACCACCAAGAACACTTCTCTCTAGCCATTTTTGACCAAATGGAGTGCACATGGTATCACTACTGCACGATAAAGGAAGAAGCTAGAACGGATTAGGTCTTGAAGGCCTGCAGCGCATTTGCACAGAAATACTATAGATACTTCACCAACAGAGGGAGGAGAGTTTGGATCGAGATGGGTTTCTTTGGCTGCGACTTTCCCCAACAGATAGCTGGATGGCCATGTGGTCTCTGGGTCCTGGAGGCGGCCAGATGTTTCTTCATGGAGACGAAAAGAGGTGTCCGTGTAGACTATGACCCTCTCTGCAGTTTCCCAGCGCTCCCCCTTTGAGAGCTCTTTCTTTCAATATCTTGCCCGGTCAATGAAGGCTACCATCTCAACGGGGGTTATTATAGCATGACCCGAATCAACGACATCCTGAAATCAACCGACAAACCAGACGGCAAAAGCAAGATCTTTGAGTATTTCAATGGGCCGAAAGCATTCGCCACCCATGCGGTCCCTGTCACGCCCATTGACGACGAGTTCCGCGAATGCGATCTGGCCACGCGTTAGAGGCAATTGCTTCCTGAGCAGACAATTGCCTTCATCCTGAAGGCAAAGGCGCCACAAACCGCCGACTATGTCGCCGGCGTGTGCCGCTATATTGACACTCGAGCCATCGGGCAACACACAGAATGCGAACGTAGGTGCGGGTGTAGAGGTGAAGTGGCAGGCTTTTTTTGTGACCACGCAGCCACGGACTCCGCCAGCCGTTCTTGAATTATTCTTGCAATGGGCAGGATATTAAGGGAATGCAACAGCGCGTACATGGCACATTGCCTCTTGCCTCATTCAATGTACTGCTACCACTATCCAAGTCCATAATCTTCCGAGTCCAGGCCCGTCTAAAGTATATGATCTTCTCCTTCTCCCGTGTCCCTGTCCATGCGATCTTGATATCGTCCAACATTGTCATGAGCAAGCCCTTCATCTGCTTTTATTTAAATTCACAGACGTTCTCTCCATACTCACTGAGAATAAAACATCCATTCTCTCCCCGCTACCAACTGCCCGACAACATTTCCGAATCTTCCATATCACGGACATCGATTCAAGTTCCTCCAAAATCGACTTCCACCCTCCCCATCTGTATTGGTACCTTCCCCTGGATTCATTTCCACTTGATCTACTATCATGTCTTTCTTTGTGATGCGTGTGAACCAGCGTAGCGTAGAGTGTAGAATGTGTTTATTGTTGATGAGTTTAAGCTGTGTCCTTTATTGTTCTGTTGAGCGAGCCTTTATAGGCTGTTCTCGGGTGTAGAGGTAGTTACTTCCTTCAAGGGGATAGATGCTACTTCCCTTATTAGGTACGAACGGGGAAACCCTGTATTAATACTCCCTTTCGTAAAATACTACAACGTCCTCGTCGTGTGCTATTATACATGTGTGCGTCAAGATCTGCTTCAACGCTTGCTGATGGCCCGCTAATTTGCCTCTTTCGGGTCCGCCGGCTCCTTTGTCTATATGAATGCCTCTCTAGTCGCGTAAGTAAAAATGTATAGGCCCGATTTTAATTTTTAGAATATTCCTCCCTTAATAAGTGGGTGTAGCTGGCCAGCCTTCCTCACATAAGCCAACCTCACACCCACGGGTAGGTCTCGACTTTCCTCCAAGCTGGTATACACCACCTCCTCCAATTCCCTGGTCCTTGCCTTTGATCTTGTTTTCCAGGGGCAAGGGCGTCAAGTACAAGCGGGGGAGGTCAACAAGCCTCCAGTCAACCTGTGCAGTCGTCGGTGCGTCCAGCAGCCCAAAAGTGGCGCATGTTGACCGAGGTTGAGGACAACAGAGGCCAAGAAGAGGAGAGATCAGCAAAGAAGAGGAGGAGGAGGAAGTGGAAGTGTGAAACGATATCGTGGGAGGTCCATGTTCCGGGCTCCCCTCCACTGGGCTCCTACTCAAATACCGGCACGCCATTCGGGGGTAATTAGGCTGCCCAGTGGTATCCGTTTTTCCTTCTTCCGCTTGAGGGCTATTTATCTTGGTCAGATACCTGGGGACTTGGGGGTTGCAGGGCTGAGAAAAGGGTGGATTGGGTTGGCACTTTCATCAGGCTGGTATGTTTACTGGACTGAACATTGAATTGGCGTCATCGGGCTCGCATCTACCTTGGGTGGGTATTACTGGTATCGGGATTTTGGAGACGTTATTTTGGAGGTCAAAAAGGCATTTTCCGCGAAGGATACAGCATACTGGATTGTTTAGACGTTAGAGCTCACGCGTTACAGTTCACGATATCAAGATTTACTACTTACGACTTGCGATGTACGAGTTATGAGATAATAGAGAGTCAATTTGGTACCCAGAGGTGCCTTAAATAAAGCTCGCAAGGTGGTTGAACTCAATGTACTCGTGGTCGTGCGTGATGGTAATTTTGAATGGTGTCTCGGTTCACTCCAGTATTTTGACCTCCAAACCTGACGGACCGAATAGACAGTGGTGTGTGCTTTGATCGTGGTGATGTGTTGACTTCTCGAATCCCACGTTGTCGTTGATCTACATTTGCCCGTGGGGAATTCCAGGAGATGAAGTAGGTAGTGATGGACGGAATGCCGACACTCGATCACGCCTTCCGCCTTCAAACGTACCGCTTCCCGTCATGTCACCAAAAAGGGAGTTACTGTAGACATCAACATCCAATGTCTCAACCCATTTGAAGCTAGGCCGGTATCTTCACGTTCGAGGCACTTATTGATATATTTGTCCCGCAACATCTTAGGCATGAAAGAGGTCTCGGACGATGCGACGGTATTTGCACACGCTGGTGAGATCATAGGTATCTAGTCAAGATGGTAGTCGACCGAGTGACAACATGTGAAACCACCTCTCGGGCTGTTTGCTCGGCAAAAGTCTACTGTCAGATCGATTGTACCCACATCGACAGACGTTCATGCCGTGCCAGTTCAGTTTGGTCACGGCTAACATGACGTTCGGGTCAAGTTTACAGGCGAACAGAGTGGAGGAGAGGCACCGGAACGCACCTTCCTTATGCCGTCGACATGAACGCCCGAATGTCCACGCTATGGTGACCGGCACTTGCAACTGCCGTCCGTTAAAGTACTTGCACTTGCCAACCTCCCGTCTGACTCGTGGAAGCAGCACACAAGACTTTTTCCAGGTTCTGGCATCGCAGGTTCACCTCGGACTGGAGTCTGGCTGCCCGGTTGCAGCAACCAAGTGCAGACACCTCAGCTACGAGGTTGCAAGTGAGATAAAAGAGAAGTAGATATTCATGTATTTGTCGTGGAAGCAGAAGCGACTTATATCTCGGAATGGAACCGACATCGGTGTAATTGCCATTTCAAGACGGGAGGAGATGGTCGACGACAACCCCTTACTGTGGACAGTATCCACGCCTGCAAGTTGTTCTTTTCCACGCTGAGGTCCTTTTTTCACGTTGATTATATAGTACTCGGCTAACAAAAACGTGACTCGGTATCCAAAGAATTGGGGACTCCCGGGATCGCTGTCGAGACCTACCTAAGAATTGGGGCGAGCGATTTGAGCTGATCACCTAGGTAGAGGTAGTTTGACCGATTTCGCTTCCAACCCAAGCACCAACCAGATCGGAGATGAGCGGACAATACTACCAGGTAGCAGCAGTTGAGCTAGCTTATCTATCATTGTGTAAAACGGAGGAACAATGACGGAAGACACGGGTGGAAACGAAGGCCCAGATGAAGAGAAAGAAAGAGCGACTGCGGTCCGTGAGAAATCTCCAACCAAGGATTCCCTTGCTTCCATGGCAATACCCGACTCGAGTCGTCACTACCTTCCGTAGAGAAAGAGGTAGCTTGATGTGGTGCTCACCACGCTTGATTGTTCTATGATCGTCATCCCTTTTTCCTTTTCTTTTCCCATGTTTCCCGTTAATGGCGAGGGTAGGGTTCGGTAGAGGTATCGACGCAAGGTTCCGCAACCTTGTACTCAAGAAGATCGGGAGTTCGTGATGTTCCATGTAAAACGTTCCGCGAGCGCGGATGATGTAGCAAGAAATGTTCAATGAAAGGCAAGGATACGATGTCATTTCAAAGTTTATTCCTCCAGGCTTAATCCCTCATTCCGTTTTGAGCTTTGTTCACACAATGATTACACGGCTGACCTGTCGTTCAAGCTTGATCCTTTCAAATGGTCCTATCGTCTCTAACACGTGCGTATGATCAACAAAGCAGAAGCGGATACTTCCTTGCTTCCCATATAGTTCGGAATTCATTCCGCGCCGTCATCATTTGGGAAACTGTTCCGGATACTACTGTAGTATAAAGTAAAGTTACTGTGCAACTGAGTGCTTGCTTCCTGGGTCGGAACGAAGTTGGTTCTGGTAAAAGGGAAGAATACTTGCCATACTGTGCGTGCGTGTTGAGGGTTTGTCCCGAGAACTGAACTAAAAGGGCCAAGGAATGCATCTCCCTCGCTTGAGATGATAGGGATGGCTCACTCGCCAGGTACGATCCCTATTGGCCAGTTTCTTTCCGTCTGTTTTCATTCCTGGACTTTTGGCATCGACGACGAAACAAGGCGCTTGAGGAGGGTATGTAACAGTACTGTAGATAGATCCCTACTAAGCATACAACGGTGGCACCGACCGGACCGGTGATACACTAAGTAGCATCATTTGTACATAGTCCGACTGAAATGGACAATCCGCTCGGGGCCGGGAGGAATGTAACCTCCCCTCCCGGGCCCCCGGCTAGTCTTCAGTTTCAAGCCATTCGCCGATTATACACAGCCCGCAAAAGCACAGATCCATGCGCTCCTCACCTTCCTATACCTTTTACTTCCCCGTAATGAGCTGAGGATATTATCCACTTTCTTGTGTATCTTGAATGTCCCCGTCACATGCGCCCGCGCTATGCGCAGCTGATAAGGCTTCCCCCCCCCTCCCCCTCGATTTATGAACTTTGTCTCACCTCACTCCCGATTTTTTTTTTTTTTTTTGCCTCAACCTGAACTGCCATTCTTATGGTTTGTTCTTTCTTCAACTGAACTCTGCTAGGGAAGGTCTTTGGAAGATCTTCGAGGGATTTCGGAGGCTCGGGGTTCATCACTTTTTTCAGATTTCCGGAAGACGCCGTGAACTGGGGAAAAAAAACGCCAATCAAACCCTGCATATGGCCTAATTTAAATTACCTGCAGCCTTTGGGGTTTTTGGCGCCATCTCCCCCCCTTGGCGGCATTTCATATCTTTCTAGAATCTCGCTAGAATTTCTTCATTCCCCCCTGCCTGCTCAATGATGTGTCTGCGTAGTCTTCGCTATTCCCGTTGATATGTGAGCTGGGTTTGTTGCTGGGCTGATGTCAGATTCGGAGATACCTTGTGGTCAAGTAAGATGATGTCCGGAAAAAGCGCTCTCCTAGTAGGGAGAAAGAAAGTTCGTGACACTGTTACTCGGGAACGAGCGAAGCGGGACGCATCACGATACGAAGCTTAAGAAGCTATCGCTGGGCTGTTTGACTTTGAAGAAAACGTGCAGTGTGTGGTGGAAACGGAAGCAGAAGTGGAAATAGAAGGCTTGCAGAACTTCAACTAGACTAGAGATTGTGTCTCACCAGGCATCCTGTTAGCTGGGCGTCGGGCGGAGGCTTTCCTTCCATTTGTAGCAGAATGTGGAAATCTGGAAAACAAGATTAAATTGGATGCTCAGAGAGTCACAGGGGGGGGGGGGAGGGGTGGTCCTGGATGGAAGGTAAGCATGGAAGGCATGGAAAAGACGAATTGTCTTTAACAAAGAGAAGGGGTCCAGTCATGGCTCAGCTGCGTTGCCGAACCGTGAACTGGCCGATCCCCATGGTGTGGGAATCACGAACGGTTCCCGCGTCTTTGAACCTTGTGGGGTCCAATCCCGTTCAGCCGCTTTCTTCCTTCTCAGGAGAGCCCGGGCTCTGAGATGTTGGTGATGATGTTTTGTGGGGTTCCGTTTCTTTTTTTTTTTTTTTTTTTTTGTTTTTTTTTTTGTTTTGTTCGGTATTCGTGGTGTCCCGTCAGCAACAATTGTGCAAGTATAGGCGCAGATTTTGGTGTTTGCTTTACGGTGGTGTTTCTGCACTACACTAAAACAGTAAGTTTAATGCCTTGGGTGAGGCTTCTTGGCGAAAGCCCACAACCCCGTTGACCACAACTCCACGAACGACAATCTGGACCTCGCGGTTCTTACCACCTGCTCGGACACCACGGACGAACGAGATGCGCAAACGCATCATCATCCGCTGCATGAAACCACTTGGCACTGCTGCGAACCCCGCCATGCACCGCTAACGCAGGTGCAATGCAGTACACACACTAAATATCCGTGGTGTGGTGGAGGCCGTGTCAAGAAGCCAGTGGTGCTACGTCCGTAGAAGCGCTGGACTCCGCTTAGAGTTGCGCCTTTGGAAGCCACCGAAGCCTTCTGGCGGGTTGCAAAAGACGTTGATGTCTCGTGACACTTCAGTTCGCTTCAGGTGTTCCGAACGAAGGGCAGTGGACGAGAACGGCGGGGAGACGGCAGAAAAGGGTCGTTTTATGTTTCAGAGATCATCTCTGGTGATCGCGATGTCATTCTCTCCCAGGAGGGAGTGCCAGTGGGAGATGGCCGCTTAGGTTATTAAAGGTGGATTCGTTGGTGGAGCGGGTGAAAACAGAGCCATTTCTTGGCCGTGATGGTCAAGGCGCTTGACCGAGACTATGACGGTAGTGCAGCGTGTGATAGAAGGGATCATATATGTCCTTCCATGGACGAGATGCATCTTGCTTCGACAGCAGAAGACACAGTACGGAGAACTAGCACACAACGATCGGGGTTCTTTTAGTGTCACTATTGTGCGAGCCTTGGAAATAGTGGTGGTGAGGCTCTCGAGCAATGTGCCCAGGATAAAGGTCGTGTCAGTTCGTGGCAGGGACGTGCCGTACCTAGAAGCTGACTTGCATGCTGTCGGTATATAGTCGTTGGCTGAGGTGAGAAGATAGAGTGGGGGTTGTGCCGTCTTTGGGGAAGAGCTGTGCATATGTTCTGGTTGGTAATCATGATTCGAGGTTGGTGATCTTCCTTCCAACGCAAGTCCAGATCCCTTGGACCGAAAGGCTACTTAGGGCTCAAGGCTGAACCGCCGTGCTGGTTACGGTATGCTGCTGTTGCCTTATGTCGAAACACGGGGAGTGGATGCCTTGCCCCAAGGAAATAAGAAAAGGAGGAATGGAGATAGCAAGAGAGTGAGACAAAACGGTCCCAGGGACGTGGATGAAGAGGCTCGGGAACCGCAAGCTGAAGCGGTCGGCTACTGGCGAGTCGAGTCCACGTCCAGCGTCGTAGGAGTAATTTGCAATGGTCCATCGAGAACTGGGGCTCGTGGGACGACTAGGACGGAAATGTCTAGACGGAGAGACGGTGTCGGCGCCCAAGCAGGATCTGGATGATTACCTGCCCTGCTATCGTCGAGGTTTGCGCCGGGCATTGGTCGGGTGGTGAGATACTGATGTTCGGTGCGCACAGTCATCACACATGAGCGAAGCAGAAATCGCATCTCGATGCCATGATCTATTCCAACCATCAGACAATTCGGTTTTGCCCGTGACCGCCTTGCCTCCGTCCTCCAGAATGATCGATAGAGAAAGTGGACATTCAACAAAGACGAGCCGATAAAGGCCCCGGCCCCGTCCGTCGTGACGGACTTCCACTTCTGTGATATACAGTGTGGATGTTGAACTGCCTTCCTGTACCCTCCCGGTTGGGCGCTGCGAGAAGAGAACTCAACTTGAACTAAAGCTCCGTCGGCCAATCAATCAGGCCATAGCCCTGCCTGCCCCAGAAACGAGCTCGAACCATGAGCGACCATCTCCTTTTTGGGGCACGTCCACCACCACCACTTGGGCGCCCGTGCATCGCCGGGTCTTGGCTACCCCTTGAAGCTACAGCACCTATTTCCCTTGCAACCTCAGTTCACCAAGACAGTGTGAGAACAAGACAAGGAAGAGTCCTTTTGCCTGCAGCTCTCCATTTCGCGGCCAGCAAACCCACACTTCTTTGAGCAGGCAATATTCCGTAGCTCACGCCATTTCCCATCTGGCGTTTCCATTCTTTCCTTCTTCGCGACTGTCCAACCTCGACCCTTTTCTTATTTTTCCCACGTCACAAACTGAAGAGAAAAGCACCGTTTGTGGTTTTTCATCGCCGCGTTTCCTGTCCCTTGCCAGCCAGCAATCACCATTTTTTTTCTGTCGACAGAATTCTCTTAGCTCTAATCGCCCGATATCCAACGAACCAACCCTCCTTCCATACTGTACAACTTCTACTTACCTACCAGTCGGCCGACTTCCGCTTTCTCCCTACCGCAGCTTCTGCAAATCTACTAGCGCCCCTACCTCTACCTAGCAGGTATGTACCACTAGCTTGTAGCCTCCCTCCCCTAAGACAGAGACGGACGGGATCCCTGGGCAGCACTGATCATCGGCCAGTAGTGGCTCGTTTCCTCGTCGTTCCTGCTTGCTCGTCTCCACACCGGCTGCTGCACTCTGCTGCACTGCACTCTGCGCACCCGCCGCTCAGTTCACCGCAACCACCACCCGAACAACTGAACTTCCCACCACTTGCCGTCCGGCTCACCTCAACTTCCACTTCCACTTCCGCTTCTGCTCGCTCGCTCGCTTCTCCGTCGTCAAGACTGCGCGCTTCCCCTGACAACACGCTTTCTTCCAAAGGAACCTCGCTTCCTCCTTCTACAGCCATCGTCGCCATCCCATCCTTCGACCTTTAATTCTACCCGCCTTCGCATCCAGGATCCCCCCTGAGGGCTGTATTCACCACCCAGTGACGTTTGTCTGCACCGTTGCGCGAGCGACTTAAACCATTTAATCATTTGAGGAGGCCATTCAATCTTGCCCCTCGTGTCGACATCTCGACTTTTTCCAACCTTTTACATTTTACATCTTCTTTAATCAATAGCCACAATGGCCAACAAGGTAAGTCGCTCCGCAAGCCTTCATTCTTTCGCCCTCCTCGATTGAGGCGTACTCTTGGGTTCAATCGCCTGCGGCATTTCATTTGGCTGACATCGCTCTCTTCCCCTTTTCGCAGTTCACAAGAGAATACAAGCTGGTGGTCGTCGGTGGCGGTGGTGTCGGTAAATCGTGCCTTACCATCCAGCTAATCCAGGGTCACTTCCTTGACGAATATGATCCTACAATCGAGGGTGCGTTACAATCTGGACCCTCTCAATCTACGTTCCAATTTTCTTGGTCGTGGTTGTGGCCTAGTGAACCGTGGACTAACTTCGAGCTCAATAGATTCGTACCGCAAGCAATGCACCATCGACAATGAGGTCGCCCTTCTCGACATTCTAGATACCGCCGGCCAAGAAGAGTACTCGGCCATGCGCGAGCAGTACATGCGCACTGGTGAAGGCTTCCTGCTCGTTTTCGCCATCAACTCGAGGGAAAGCTTTGAGGAAATCAGGATCTACCAGCAACAGATTCTTAGGGTCAAGGACAGGGACTCGTTCCCCATGATCATCGTCGGAAACAAGTACGATTTGAGGGGAGAGCGCGTTGTTTCGGAGCAGGGTAGGTTTTCACTTCTTCATCCTTGCGAGGGACAGGACAGTACGCTGACAACACTTGGCAACAGAGGGACAAGCTCTTGCCGCCGAGTTCGGTACCAAGTACATCGAGACTTCCGCCAAGACACAACACAACGTTGAGAACGCTTTCTACGATCTCGTCCGCGAAATCAGGAAAGAGGACAAGAAGCTCGGCGAGAAGGTCGGCGGCACCTCATTCGCCAACAACAATGGGGCAGTTAAGCAGATGGACGTCGGTGACGAGGACGTCCAAGCAGGCTGCTGCGCCAAGTGCATAATGATGTGAATGATCGAAACCAACAGGGGAAGAGCAAGCGGGGAGTTAAAAGAATTGGGACACGTTTGCAATGAAGAGATGGACGATCACACACACACACACACACACGCACACACACACACGCACACACACAAAATCCGGACTTTATAGACGACATGGATGTGCAAAACAACCGAAACACAAAAGCCATATCGGACGGCCACGCCCATACCTTAGCTCACGTACGGTGACCAGTCGGGCTCAGGACCACGGGACCAGCGGAAGGAATATCCGCGTTTGGGGAAATTCAGGCGAGAAGGGGGTTAGGAACCGGGACCGGGCACACAAATTCTTTGCATTTTGTGGGCATTTGTTGCAGTGGCACTTATGCGGATGAGCTGAGCGACTTGAAAAAGTTGCTTTCAGTTACCAACCGGCCGCTGGGTTTTTAATATTACACCGCCGCTGCTACAATCCGCTCCTTGGCGTTCGTGAGGCGTGGTCGGTTTCTCTATCAGCGTCTGGAAGAGGTCGCCGAGGGAAGAAGGAAGGCTGGGTTCGGTCTGGTTGGTTCGGCGAAGGGGTTGGTTGGTTTTGGTTTGGTATAATCCTGGTTCTGTCTGGTCTGGTCTGGTCTGTCTGGGGTTTTTGTTGGCACGTTTCTGTCCGTGTTTCACGATCCGCGGATTTTGTGATCAAATACTTCTTTCTGCTACCTTTTTTCACTTTACACATTTTGGGAGTCGTTTATCCGCGAGAGAACTGTACTTGCTATGGATGTTATGTCATGGTGGGGATTCTGATCGATACTGGGTTTGCAAACTCTCGAAAGAAAACCGTTTATTTGTAATTCATTCTTACTAAACCTTCTGCCTTTTTTTTCGTTTTCTTCGTTAGTGCCTGGTCCGAGTGTGTTTCCTCACGTTATTCGTATGTCCCACATATCTTGAAAGTATGCATGAGGTGGTAACGTAGTTGGTGGTTGGCGGTTGCCAGTTGTCAAGCGGTCGAAAACCTCATCCTCGCTGATTGACTGTCTTGGGTGCTCCAATGTCGTGATATGCATGGCTGTAGTGTCTGGAATCCACGTACATGGACTGTCGAGAGTCCACAGCTGCCCCTCTAGGTAGTTATCACTGCAATGAGTGATTCCTGCCGGGACATCGGCCTTGCATACCTATGACCAAATAGCCATATGACCCAACAAGGCTGAAGCCTTCTCGGGCAACAAACAACCTGAGCACACGCGGCTGACAAATGATAGACAGCAAGCATATTACTCGACGGATGGACATCAAGGCAAGCGGCTGCCAGTCTTAGGTAAAGAAGGATGTAGAACCCATCATCGATCGGCCTTGTCAACCATTGTAGTAACTACACCACTCATACAATGACTGATTATTCGCCCTATTATAAAACTTACCATGTGTAGGTAGTTACTGCGTTGTTAATCGTTCTCAAGATTTAACTCTATGTATGTACATCGCTTGCCACTTTCCTTCGTTCCTTTCCTTTCCTTTGGTTGCTACCGATGCATCACTTCACTTCAATTCACTTTCTTTCGGGTTGGGGGGTATCTCTTTTCAACTCAACTCTTCAATCGCCCCCTTGGTGATGTTTGGTTTGGTAGATTGCCTGATAAACATCAGATGACACCGTGCTGTCTGGGGTTGCTTGTGGTTGGATGGGGATAGGTTGGTAGGTGGGTTGGTAGGTAGGTAGGTAGGTCTTGACACACACGTCGAGCACAGAAAGCAACCCATTGTTTGATGGATTAAATGCCTTGGGGAAGGGGAG